TTCCCCTCACCCTGTTAATCCTTACTGCCCCAAGGCTAGTAGGCGGTGGTATTCATTTGACACGCTCTATGGGTTTGGTAAGCCTTGTGCTGCCTGGTGCATGCAGGGTTAACTTGGGGCATTTGAAAAACATTCTGAATTGCTGGCAGTTCCTCCTGAGTGACTGACAGGGAGGGGAGGCTGCGAGTCTCCTCTCTCTACAATTATGGAAATCACTGGGAGCGAAGTATGTAAACGCAGCTTGTAATTGCCGCATGCTGACCTCGGCACGCTAAGTTTACTCGTCCTCTCCGGTGGTTTTGCGAGGACCGTCTCTATGGCAACAGTGCACATGGGTCCAGCGTTACGGGGTTAAGCGAGCCTTATAAAACCCTGTAATGTATTTTGGCTGTGAGCCTGTGCGGCAGAGGTGTTTGAGTGTGCATGAGGGACCTGTGTATCAGAGCGTGGCGGACTGTTGGGTCATCCTATCATTTCTATATATCGCTGCCGCACAATGGGCTATCATTTATCACATCATTTGAAAGGAGATATGTCTATGTTAAACAAGTAACCAGTCAGCGTCTTTTGATTTAATTTTCTATCTGACCCTAAATGTGGAAAGGAGCATCTGATCGGTTGTTGGTAGCTACATAGCGCCTTCAAACACAGTGAGGCCCTGTCTCAGAATTTTATAGAAACATGCCATTTTTTTCAAGCAGTATAATATTTATAACAACCAGAATTTTACACGGAAACCCAAACTAGAAAGGGAGTCTGAAGATAACACATCTTTGCTCAGATGCTAGGAGTGAGCAAAAGTATTTCCTGTGTATTCAGTGACAGCCGCGATCTGTTACGGCAGCCCGTCTATAAGGGGAGGGGGGTAGTGAGTGATTTAAAGGTCATGTGTACTGGCAGTTAACTGAATAGGAAATTATTTCAAGATCTGATGATACTTCTGCCACATTTTAGACAAATAAATATTCAGATGTCTGGTCTTCCTTAGCTACAAAGACTTAGCAGAGAAACATTGATATATAAAGAATTTTGCACAATTTTAAAGTAAACATGCGTTATTATTGGAACTTAAAGAGTTCCTAAGGCAAATGCTGAAGAACTTCACATTGCCAGCAAATTGTATGGCAAAAGTGTATCTTGGGGGGATGGGGGGATTTGGTAAAAGTTGTTCTTACTAAGAATTTAATGAATGGGGAATCTCCCTTGTTGTTGTATTCTGAATATATACGCAAGAGGAGCTATTCTCACTCCGGTGAGGAGGCTCCCATACAACAAAGAACCCCCATGCAAAGAGAAGTCCAGTAGATAGCTGTAAGGGTGTCACAACAATGGCTATAGAATCCAGAATACTATGAACATTGGTTACTTTTCCTGTCTTACAAGATGAACTGGGATTGACTTCCACTAAATTTCTAGCCTATTTCCAATTGCTTCACGCTGTGAGGGCTCAATTTGGTGGTACCTCCTTAATACTGTCCCAGTTACCGCTGGAAAAAACTTATTTGAAAGGAGGGCTCTACTAAGTTGATCTCCGCTTATCATACAGAACTCTGTAGCTTTAAATCCTCCCCGTTCAGTAAAGCTACACAAAAATGGCAACTGTTGATACCTCAGATTATTTTGCTGTAATTTGTTGACACCTATATGTCCTCTATGATCTCATCCTGAGAACCAGGTGAAGTTTTTCGATCAAGTGTATTACACCCCTATGGCTCTTCACAGGTTGGGTTTTAAGAGATGTGGTGAATCGACTTCTTCCACTCATTCTGGAATTGCATTATGAAGGATTTACCTCTGCATTCTTATAATAAACATCTTCTTAGGATCCTTTTCCTCTATGACAAAAGGCATTCAGGACGTCACCCTTGTCTCCTACTCTGAGTGGATTTAAGAGCCTGGTTGATTAAATCCTTCCAATTTATAAAGTGTGAACATAGAGGTAGGCCTGGCTCTCCTCTGCCCTTACGATCCCATCCACACTCTGACTCTGGGGTTTGTTTGGATTAGTGTGACCCCCCTCTTCCTCTGTGTTTACCTTATTTTTTCTTTGCAAATTTATGAAAAACAAACAAGATAAGACAACCAATGTGTTTCAGGGGCTCAAACACTCTCCCTTCATTCTGGTTTGCAAGTAAAGTCACTTCAGAAATGACTGGACTCAAAAGGGTTAAAAGTATTTTTCAATATAGTATCAAAAGTGTGCACCAGCAGGAAATACAGCATGATTGTCTGTAATCACTGTTCAACCAACAATGTTCTGTCCGACTCCTGATTTTTCAAAGGTTGTCGAGCCGGGTTGGCAGGATTTCGGCCGATTCACAACAATGTGTATGGCTAGCTTTAAGTCCCTACCCCACATGCATGAAGATACACATACTAGGACCATACAATTTACCTACCTGCATGTCTTTGGAGTGTGGGAGGAAACCCACCCAAGGACAGGGAGAATATGCAAACTTCATGCAAATAGTATCTTGGCGGGGATTCAAACCCTAGTATTGCAAGGCAGAAGTGGTAACCACTGAGCCACTGTTCTACCCCCCCCCTTCGGAATGGATGTTTGGGTATACAACGTACAATTGTGCTGTGTAATTTCTTGGCTTGCTGCTGTAGTTTTGGTATGGTATGAATAGTTAAGTTGATACATAGTATACATGTGTGTGTGTAAATGTATATTTGACTGCATGTGTGTGATTGCAGTTACATAGAGTTGCTTTGTAAGGTGTGTATGGTGGATTAGTGTTGACCCAATGCATGTGCATGCTACTGAATGTAGTGTGGTGTTTTGGGTTTGACAGGCAGGGAAATGGTTAAATTCTGCCTGATTTCCCACATTGCATCCTATATAAAAGCCGCCTCACGTCTGGCAGCCTCGTCTCCCCATGATTACAGCTAATTACATCGACCGGACACCTCCTCGCCCCCGCCATGCAGCTTTAATTGACCGTTATTCATCTGCAGGCTGTCCGGGTGGCAGAGCACTTGGCAGCCCAGCGACAGAGGCCTCGGCTAATTGTTGGGCCTGGGGGATTAGGCCAGGTGATTACACACTTCACGGTGTAATTACATAAGCATCGCTTGGCTGCTGCCCCGGCTCGGAGCCGAAGGTCACTTTCTGCGTTACCTGAGATTAATTGGAGCTGCCAGTAGAGTGCGAGGAGCTGGCGGAGCGCTGATACGATTAGCAGGACGTTTCAGCAGCGAGGAATCGATGGCCGCTCTTCCCAGACAGCACGAGCCGTGCAATTAGTTTAGTGCTGAGCGAAGGGAGAGGTGGGGGGAGGTGATAAGTGGGGGCTTAGAGCAGGAAAGGGGGGTGGGTGCCAACCGTAACCTTAAAGTAAAGACTGGCGTGGTGTAAACACAGGAATATTGGCATTCACGAGCCTGTTACGGCCGCTTTTCCTTCCGCTCTCCTCCATTATTGGCTACATTCCCGAGATTTGGGGATATTACAAAGACAGGCCAAGATTTCAATCTATCTAGGTCAGTTTTATCCCCCCACACACAGATTTTTTAGTACCACACTTCACGGTACACCTCAAATGGAAGTGCATTGTGATGATATATTAAATACCTGATAGTTTCCTGCATGAATGGAAGATAAATGTAAAAATACTGGGAAAAAGTATTGTAACAAGAGCCATCCTCCCTAAAACCTATACTGGTGTAGTCTCCAACCTATATTGCCATTCCATAAATTCTGCCCTAACTGGGACTGATATTGGGGCTTTTATTTGCATGAGCTGTGTGGACTCTGCATCAGTTACAAAGAACCAGTTACAGTTGAACTGGTTTGCCTTCTACTGCCTCAATATTGACAGACTAGAAAGGAAATGGGGGTAGTATAGTGATATGTTACTTTATGGCGGTCAATGCATAGCAAGGTATCTACATGTCAGATACATTAATTTTTAATTAAAAGGCCTAGGTGCCTTGAATTCCTGTGTCCTTTGACCAACACACATCCTGGGTTGAGAGCCTTGGCCCACATCCTAGGCCTTATTTTTGGCCAACCTTCACAGTATACTTCAGACTGCTTAATAAGGTTTGGTCAGTTGTTAAGTCCACCATAGCAGAAGTAAAGAGAGCACTTGGAAGGGTAACCATATCAGATGATAGTGGTAACTATAGAAACAATAAACAATGAGTAACTACGGTTGGAGAATAGCGTGGAGGACTCATAGTCATAGTGGTTAAAAATATGGCTAACGGAAGGATATCTACACACGTGTTATCATCAAGGAACCTACAAGAGAATGCAGCACAAAAGGAAAGCTGGTGCTTTTGGACTGTGTCCCCTCTAAGATTAGAGACATTCGTCTAAAGATGGAGTTGTAGGAGACCCATCCATCTGGCAGCTCAGTCATTAATTTTTTACAACCTTATTACTCTGCCAGTGTGGCAGCGCCACTGTTGTACATCTGGGCTCCTGCATCTGACTCACAGTTGTAATATTATACATTCCCAGATATTGCCAGAAGCTGCTATATGGACAGCGATTGGCTGCTCAGGTATCTGTAATGTCTCAACAGTCAGGGCATCACTATCCCTAATCTGAATTCATTAGGGACCTTCTTTTTCTACCTATGGAATGGGGGATGTATTATATTGTATTGTCACTCCTGGCATGCCCCTTCATTTGTGTGGATAGCCAGGAAACAAGAACCCGGGTGTATGATGTGGAAGTCTTATATTCACTGACAGTACTGCAAGAAACGGCTTCCATTAAACCCCTTCAGCGTTTTACTGACACAATTACCACAGTTATTACTTTGCAGTTATAATTGATATTGATGTTACCATCGTGCTTGATTATGAGAAGACAAATACTAGATTCCATTTACTGTTATAATGGCTGTCGGTACCGTCCTAATAGCTGGTAATGGTGTGAAAATCTAACTTTTCTGGCATTAGGACTATTCATTATGTATGAAGATATGACTAAGACTTTATGACATTTGCATTTAAAAGAAATATATTTTCATTCCTCTCCTCAGGGACATTTCTCACCCGCCTCCTCTGCTGTCACCTCAGAACGCCCCTCATATTGCCTTGGGACCACATTTAAGGCCACCATTTCTTGGGATGCCCTCTGCTTTGTGTCAGAGTCCAGGTATGTAAAAATGAGCCCAAATGAAAGGATGGTTATAGTTTGAAAGTGTTTTGCTATATCTGTTCAGTAGGTGCAAAGAAAAATTGCTGACCCTGCCACAAAGCTTGTGAGCTGATAACATCCTTTGCGCTCTGCTTGTGCTGCCCTCCTATTAAAGTGCATTGTTCCCAGGTCTCTCTGCAAACTACCTCCCACCTATGTTGTTGAGATGAAGTGACGAGGAGGTGTTCTGTAGTCCCAATATATTCCCTGTCCACAAATTTGCTCATCCATAAAGAGAGTACAGTATGTCAGCACTGTCACCTTTAAGACAGGAAGTGTGTTAGTGGCAGGATCAGCAGGTGAAATAACTCAGAAAAGAAATCTAATGCGGCTGCTACATCCTAAGAAAGCTGCAGTATATAAAATGTTTTGTTTTGGCTTCAGATACACTTTAAGAATAGCCTTAAAGAAGAACTCCAGGGTATGAAAACATAACCCTTGCAGTGGGGCTACCCCCACACTGCAAGGGTGAACTGCACATTTTTCTCTATGGTCTAAAATAAAGAACATATACTCCCCTGATCCTTGGGCGGTGACCACTCAACTCTCTCGCCCTCCTCTCCGGCGGTGATTTATTCCTCGGCATCTTCACGTCTAATGCACTGTGGTAGACGTTATGCCTCACGGGCCAGGCAGAATCTAGCATCGGATGGGTATATCTTTTTTTTATTTCAGACCCTAACCATTGCAGTGCAGGGTTGGCCCCACTTCAGGGGTAAATTTTTCCTATGCCCAGAGTTCTCCTTTAAGATGTTTGCCATGTATCACCAGGGTATGGATTTACAGTGTTATCTCTTTTTCAGTAGGTTATGGCTTCTTACAGCCAGCCCAGGCGGAAATGTTTGCACGACAACAGGAAATTCTGCGGAAACAGAACCTGGCCAGGTGACTGTCCATTTTTCTCTCACATTCTTTAAATAATATACCACATATTCCATAGAAACAGCAATCAGCAGCCCTCCAGCTGTACACACAGACACTTGAACACTGCAATTTCAGAAAGCATAAATGGTCTGTTACACATTCATGGCACAAATTTATCACCAAGCGGTCCAGGGAAGTGAGGTTGTTCTGTTGTACCATGAAATGTATAGTCTGAAAAACCAAATGTACAGCTACAAAATACAGATTGTGTGCGCTCTGATAACCATGTACAGCTCTTCCCGTTAATTCCATGAAACTTGGCAAGATAACGCACTGCATTTATGAGTAATAATCAGATCAGGAAATTCACTGGTTTTACTAAGTTTGCACAATCCTGGAGCAGTTCTAAGAAATAGGGCTCATAGATTGCATTATTTGCTGCAGAATACATCCATAATATAGTGTTCAGGTGAAGATGTGGCTGGTTCACTTAGCAATTGATGAGCAGAACAGCTAAGCATTGATTATATATACATATAAATGAACCACATAATGTAACCCCAATTAAGTATCGTAATGTAAATCCTTTCTGTGAATGGGTCATCATGCCTCAAACTGTCATACCCAGGTGGAAGAGTAGAAAAAAATTGAGTTGTCTGTAGTTATGCCTCAGCAGAAACACAATAGAGGAAATGAAGACACTCAGCCACCATTTAGAGCCTTACATCCTGTGGTGCGTCAGTCATGATGATGCTGTAGTGGACTATGACTCCTTATAAGTGTTTATGGCAGGCTCAAACAAATAATTCTGAGTATTTGGGTTCAGGCGCTCAGCTAATTTGAACATTGGCAGCTTTCTCCATTTCAAATAAGGCTGTCAATAGGGTATACAAATAAAACAAAAGAGCTGTTTTTGTAGTCTGGAGTTTTACTTTAAAATATGAACCAACTTGCTGTTCATTAACTTTCTTCTTCTTCTTTGTTAAGACTTGAAATGTCTGCTGAGATTATACGCCAGAAGGAGCTGGAGAACCTACACAGACAGAGACTGTTGGCTGGTGATCCAATGACTCTTCACCCCGGTTTACCCCCTGACCACCCTGCTCTACGTAACATGCATGAGCTCCCAGAGGGCCACCCTTTAAGAGAGGAACTGTCCAGAAGGAATGCCATGCTTGTTCTAAGACACAATAACACCCCTCTGCTCTCCCTAAACCACCAGGGAGTACCAAGCGTGCCTCCTCCCAAGGAATCCCAGAGTGCGAGAAGGGCAAGTCGAAAGTCGGCGCATCACCGGATGGAAGCCCATGGAAACCACGGAGAAGCAAAGGAACTCTTGGATCAGCGTATACGAGAGGGAGTATCAGAAGGCAATGATGAGGAGATGAAAGATTCAGAGAGTGAGGCAGAGGAGAAGACAGACAGGTTAAGAGTAGAGCGAGGTGCCTCCTCCTCAGCTCATGAACTTCAAGAGGGTAAAGACACCCTCAAAGGAGGAGATTCTGTAAAAGAGTCCAGTGATACTCACACTCACCAAAGCCTCTCCTGCGGAACTTCAGAGTCACCCACTCATGTTTTAGGACCAGGAATCAGTAAAGGAGATGGAAAATATTTGTCCATAAACTCAGTGCCTCCACCTCAGCCATTTCCTTTTGGATTCCCCTATGCTGTCAACCCTTATTTCCACACAGGTAGGTACAGTGTCCATTTTCTTTATAGCAGATTTCTTGCCAAACCTTTGTTTATTTTTTGGGAGCCTGTGTCAGGATTGTATTGCTGTGTGTTGGATTGGGAAGATTTCCCCTTACTTCCTGTCCTTGACACTGGTATCACATTGGACAAGAAGACAAATCTCTCCAACAGGGGTCCAGACATAAATAAAATCCTGACTCCGATTCTAACCCTCCGTTATACATTTCTATAGAGAAATGTCAGGTAAAGCACAGTTTAATTTCATTGATTTGAAGTCGGCCTGTTCCTGATTTTTATTAATAACATAAGACACAAAGCGTGCCATGATCCTTGGGATCCCTGGTGTTATGTCTCTGACAGCCATGTAACTGTGCTGGCCCAACTGTTTGCACACATTTGCTTGCAAATATCACTTACCTGTGACCAATGATCTCCAGTCTTTATTCCCACTGGGTCTTATGTATGAAAGCATCTAAATGACGAACTGAGGCAAATGCTAAGACGTGACAAAATCTCACCTTTCGTTGTCAGCATGCCTTGTATATGTTTCATACATTTCATACATTTCCTAGTAAGAATATATGTATTTTACAATGGAATTCTCTTAATAATGACATTTCCAGCGATGGGTGAAGAGTTCTATAAGCAGTACACAATGGCTTCCAGTCTTGTGATGAATTGATTACCAAGGAAGCCGATATCTTGGCAAATACTTGCCACATCCAATGACAAAGTTTTTACCAAGGGATTTTGTCATGAACTGGAACTCCAGGTAAATCGCTGAATACACATTTTAAATACACATACAGTATGGTCACTGTTTTACCTGCCAAAGGATTTGTAATTCGTCAGTCTAGTGACTTCCACACCTCTGCCACACTGTACAGCCAGGCGGGTGACACACTTGGCTAAGCAGAACTGCTTTCTATGCCACCTCCAGCCTGCTCACTGGACAGCGAATTGGCATCATTGCCTCTGTACAATAACCGGATGGGTGATTCCAGAAGCAGTGCAGATGAACCAGGAAATAGAGTGACCTTGCCAGTTGTGCATTGTGGCAGAAATATGTGAATTACAGGACTGGCTGAACAGAACTGCAAGTCCTCTGACAGGTAAATATGTAATCCAAATGTGTATTTTGCAGTCTGCCAGAGATCCATGTTAAAGTGCCCTTATGCAGGGGATAGGACTTTTTGGGGCATAGTTGAGGATAATCTCTGGTTTGTGAATGGGACGCAAGCTGACTGGCTGCTGTTGGGGTTCCTGCACCCCCTGCCACATCAGTCAAGCCAAGCTTTGTACCCCCCCTTCCCATTGCACACTAATAAGGCAGCGTCGGGACTGTCCGCAGCATGTGCATTGAGGAACAGGATTGCTTGTGTGACCCAGGCATTCCTGTTTATGGCTGAAGCTAGGCCAAATGAGATTGTGAGATGACCAGATTGTGATTACACATCCAGCTGTTCTCTGATGTCCATGGCAAGCTTTACTTGGTCTACAGTCCATCATAAGATGTGCGGCCAGATAGTAAGTGCTCTGAATGTTTCCTGAATTCTTAGCATTGCCAGGGAGACGGAAACAATTGCCTGTGTAAAGTAATGCACACCTCGTGGAGAGGCGCGTTCTGTGCGGACACGTTTATAGCAGAACTCTTTCAATTTATATATGTCTATATCAAGAACTCCCACACACATACAAGGGAGAATGCCATGTGAACCATTATTTGCCATATTACGCGGGTATGGGTTGAGGAGCAAATGCCTTTAGGCATTGACAGGTTGCCTTTTTTTGGCGTGTGGGGACCCCATCTCCCACCTGCCCTCCGCCTCTCCCCCCTACTTCTCCTGTCCAGGCTAACGCTGCCTGTAATTGAGTGAGACAGCTGCACCGGGACTGGATTTAGCAATATTGATTTTGCAATACATTAGGAGAATGGAATTCCTATCACTGTTCCAAAGGCTTCCTGTTAAAGCAACACCTCCCCCTGGCTAGCCCTCATCAACCCCGGCGCCCTGGCTTCTGCATCTCTCATTAAAGTCGAAGCCCCTTAAAACTGCTTGGGAAGAGCAGCGCAGGAAGCGTTCCCGGAGATCGGCCTTTCTCCGCATACACTCACACAGAGTCTGCTGCCTGATAAGCTTGGATAATATTCCCTGGAAACATCACACTCCACGTAGGCAGAAAAATCTGCGAGTCAAACAACTTAAAAGCGTTCCTTCATAGACTACGTGGAACACGCCATCACATTCCTCCTGTGGTCTATGGGGTTTCATCCATCAAATCAATACTGGGAGTTATCAGATGAATAATAGATCTGATCACTGGGCAAAATGATTTACAGCTAATCTATAGCCTGAGGACATCTGTGCAAATGGAAACATTCATAGATGAATACAGGGAAGCAGATTTCCTTTGCGACTCCTCTCTTCCTGCCATATCCTCCAACTGAAACAGTGTCGTAAATTTCTGAACTATGGCTGCAGTTTGCCTATAGAGCTGAACTCCAGGAAAATCAATAAATACAAAGATGAAATACATTCATGGGAGCCGTTTTACCTGCAAGGAGGGTTCGTATGTTTGTCCATCCAGTCCTGTGATTTACAGCTTTGCTACACAGCACAGTCCTCTCTGGAGTCTTGTTCCTCCACCAGCCTGTGACTGGACAGTGAAAGGAGAAGCAGCACAATAATGAGCTCATCTCCCGTCACTGTGCTCTATACTCCTATTAGAATGTTCGTTGTTAACACATGAGCACTGCATCCTCTCCCAGTCTGTGCTCTGTGGTGCAGGAGATTACAAGAGGCTCATACCCGGTTAAATTTAGGTATTTGGACTTCCTGCATTAAAAATACATGTAATAATACTAATCTATTACAAAATACAAAGCTGCATTATATGTGACTGGAGTTGTAAGCACTGATTAGTAGACCTTAATCCCTGTGCCTCCACCGCATTTGACTAATGTAACTGTCCCTTCGGATATCATTGGTGATGTCGGGTATATAAAACATAGGTTGTTACTGCATATAATGTGCGTTCTAGGTCATCTGATTTCTGGGCTCCGCCCTCATAGTGCAGGACGGTATACATTTGCAGGAAGCATAGCAACCAAAACAGCAAATATTCTGATCTGTGCAGATAAGATAATAAAAAAGATTCTGGCCGTCAGCTATGCAAATATTTGCTGCCTGTATATATAATGTATATGCATACCAGTTCTATGTATATACAGCGGCAGCAGGGTGGAACGTCTGCTTGTACCTGGAGCTGTCTGATTTGCAGTCTTGTTATTCAGTGCCGGGAATCATTATTTATGTAACACACCAGAATATTAGCTGTCACCTCTCTTTAATGAGATCCTGCAGATAGACAATGAAGACTTGGCCCTGTAAACTCTCCCAATTCCTATATATAGTATGAAATGGTTACAGGGGATTTGCTAGGTGGTGGTGGTGGCCGCTGCCAGTGCAGTCATGAGTTTAGAGACCCTGGGAGCCATATAAAGTCAGGAATAGGGCATCCAGTGCAGCTGTGCATCCTGTCACTGTGCTGTAAAACTGTGCTGACCTCTATACGGCTGTGAGCTAAAGGAGGAGGGGGGAATGTTTATCAGTGCCAGCCCTGGCCCCCATCCTGTCTGCCTCTCTGTGACCGACCTTGTCTTCCCTCTAGTTTATGAGACACGGGACTGCCAGCAAATCTCCCCATACACCCCAGGGACAGCTCAGGAAGCTAAAATCCTTCTATCGATCCCCAGCCCTGAGTACAATTAACGCAACCTGGCATGAGGCGCTCCCGCCACAGCCCCTCCCGCCTTCTCTGTCAGAGGAGGGGGGTTACGCTTATAGTCTGGGTCCACAATGCATTTGGCATATAGACCCAGGGCTGCTCTTAATTCATTACACATCCAGAATAGATCTTGCGTCACCCAGTGACAGGCTTTAATCGTACGTGACATTAATTACAGGTAGGATCGTTAGTCTCTTCCCAGAGCCCGGTCTCTGGGTAGCTGACAACTTTGGCTCTTCTGTCTCCTCGTTGCTAGACATTGTGGCAACTTTTGTCCTCCAGGAACCTGAGGAAACGGCTAATTGGGAAGCCATTCCCAGCTCCAGCCACCCAGCGTCTGTGAGAGATGAGGGCCTTGAAAAGCTGGCGGCAGGCTCTGACCTCAGGCTGTGCACAGAATAATTGAGATGAATTCATTCCCATCCATTGAAAGCGCTCTGACCTCTCGCTGTCCCACCTTACCCATCACATACAACACAAATATCCTTCATCTACCAGGGGCCTTCTGGTCTCGTACTACAGATTTGCTCTCTCTTCTTATTCTCTGTTAGGAGAATTCTACCAACAAAGCATTGTGGGAGAGCAGAGTCTGTACCCTGCATGGTGTTGACAGGTCATTAAAGATGGATGTTAGGCTACAGAATATGTTCATCTTGCTGCTGCCTTGTTTTCTTCGTGGGATTTTAATGATTAATGTCTCTTTCCCTTTCTCTCCCCTTCTTCCCCCACCTCTGCTTTCCCTCACACAACCTTCTCGACTTCTTTTTCACCTTGTCTTCCTACCCCCCTCACTCATTTTCATGTATCTGCTCATCTTCTACCCCATCCTATGTCAGGTGCCATGGGGGGACTCTTCCTGGATGGGGAGGACAGTGTGGTGCTGGAAGACCTCAGCAAATGGACAGTGGAGGATGTCTGCAGCTTTGTGGGCAGTCTGTCTGGCTGTGCAGAATACACACAGGTAATGGGTCTGGCCACTGTTAAGTACCCAACTCTATGTTCCTAGTTATGTCACTAGTTCAGTTGTTAGGAGGCAAGTCATCAACCCAAAACTGAATTTCCAGTTTGAGTCTAATCCAAGTTGTCAAGCAGGGACAAGTGACACAATTATGTAGTCTGTCAAGGGGTCTCCGTCCCAATATGTAGTCTGTCAAGGGGTCCCTGTCCCTATAGGTAGTCTGTCAAGGGGTCCCTGTCCCTATAGGTAGTCTGGCAGGGGCTTGCACCCACTAGACTAGACAAATCTAGTTTGAGTGTACTTGACTTAGTTATTTCCATTTCACCATCACCTCCCGCATATTTTTTTCTTTCATACCCTTGCTATAACTGATGTCTTATCTATTGTGCCATTGTATTCACATTAGAGAAGGTCTCTGGAACTGGAAGCTTTATTTCTCGTTAGAGGATGTCCTCTATCCGTCCCTTGTTTCTGGTCTCCAGTCTGAGACAGGAGGTTGGAGTCAGCCGTTTTTTCCCCCCCCTTTCCCCTGTGCTAATCCCCTCATGACATGCTTCATTAAAACCACCTGCACTGTCACACTCCCCCCTCCCTGCAGCTGGGCCGGAGAGTAGTGGCGGCGCAGGCTAGAAGTCAGCGCCAGAGAGGAAGGAGAGGGGGGACCGGGACAGCGGGAGAGGTTATGGGGAGGGTGAGTGAGACAGAGGGCTATTCTGTGAGCACAGAAGACTCAGAATGAATGAGATAAACAAGTGGGAGGGAGACTGGTGCATAGTACTTTGTTTTAAGAATTTCATGCCAGGAAAATCTAGAGTATTCTAACACCTTGAAGGCACTGCTGGCTTTAAAGAGGAAGTAAACCTAATAAAATATTAAAAACTGCTAGAAATGAGTTTTTTGGCAGAATAGATACGCCAAGTCTCTTCTGCCAAAAAACAGCTGCTTCTAACTTCTAGCAGTTTTTATCTCTCGAGTACACTGTACAGGGCATGTGCCGTACAATGTAGTACCCCAGGTCCTTCCCAGAAACTGCAGTGTGCCGGGAATTGAGTCAGGTGCTGAGGACGATGCAACTCCTGTATGCTTCCGCAGGAGTTACAGCATCCCAGGCAGCCCAATCTTCGGACAGGACAACGGGGGACCAGAAAAAATAGAGAAGAATATGGCGGCAGCAGCTGACAGAGTAGACTGATCAGCGCTGGAGGAGAGTACACTCGTCAGGTAAGTGTGCCATAAGGTGCAAGCATGCTCTGCATACTCGCATATTATGACAGGAGCCCATCCACCACAGCGGACTTTACTTCCACTTTGAATAGGAAAGTGAATTCCTGCTCTACATCTGTATAGGAACTCGTTTGGGTCCCACTTCCAAAATTTCCCTCATAAGCAACTGTTGACCCTCAGCCTGCAGACATGTGATTAAAAGATTCTTTAACACTATATACAGCATGTAACACGTGGAAATTGCATATACTGGCAGCGGTCATCATACAGTATGACTTTATTCCTCAGATCTATACCAGGCACTGTGAGGCCATGGTAAGAGGAAAAGTGAATCGCACTTGAGTACCGCTGGGCAACAACCGATGCCGTCAGCATTAGAACAAGACAAAGTGACAAAAGTGCAGAACCCCAAACTAATCATATTTTAGCTAAGTTTAGACCCTGGAATGGTGATTGGTGGCTGGATACTGTGCTTTACTGTTATGTATTAGATGCAGTGCAGTCTGTGAAGTGTTCATGTTAGTTTTGTAGAGTTGGTTGGTCTTGGAGTTGCGGTAACATCCTGTTCTCTGTGCAGGTATTTCGGGAGCACTGTATAGATGGGGAAACTCTGCCACTACTGACTGAAGAGCACTTACTGAATAACATGGGCCTGAAGCTTGGGCCAGCACTAAAAATAAGAGCACAGGTATACCCTATGCACCTTGCTTCTATGTATGAAATTCAATGCTAATTTTTTCCATCTGTAGCAATGCTTACCTATAATCTTTGTACCTTACCTTTTCCATTATTGCTTTGCTGCCAGTGTTTATGAATAAGGTGCTAAATTACAGTCCCGCTATAGATATCTGTGGCCTGTAGGGATAGCACAGCAATAATGAAACGGTAATTCTGCCTCTTCTGGTGCCACCGCAACTTAGAGTGTGCCCTGTATTTAGAGTGACATTGGCACCCCTCTACCTTTCCCTATGCTTGTAGCGGCTGACAGCAGAGTAGTACCTTTCTGTGTGCGCCATGGAGTACATCTCCTTCCTATGTCATTGGAATATTATGTCTTTACCAACTGAATCCTCTGCTGTAATCCCTATTCCTAGCTGCATCTTTTATCAAATAGGCACAGCCAGAGCACGTTTTGATTTTTAGCAAATAGATAGAGCCATTAATAGATAGAGCCATTATGGTCCCCCAGTGCAGCCAGCAAAGTCACTGTTCAGTTCACTGTAACATTAGCCTGCTGTGTATTGGTGAAAGGTACACATTCAATATGTGAACTGCATCACTGCAATGAAATGACCATATGCGGTATGCTTTTGTGAATTGATCTTTGTGAGTCACGGACTCAGAACTAGTATGCTGCATGTTCATTTAGAATAGTCTGCATAGTTCTTCCAGCTCTGAATCCTTTAGGTTAGCATGTCAGCTGGGCAAGTAGCATTTTCAGATAGAGGTCAGCAGTATATATTTCTCTAAGCAGACATAGTGCTGTGTCTCTACAAATGTTTTTCAATCTTGTGTTTGCAAAAACGAGACATCAGATCTCACCCGGGATGGTAGCAGGCCCATCCGCTGTGAATGTACTGGGATTTCTCGGACTCACACAAATACACGTATCACACCCTAACACAATATAATAGGATTGTGCTATGGCCTGCAGGTCTTATAATAAAGTGGTAACTGCAGTTTATGGCTTTCCCTCCAGCCCCGGCTGTTTATGGCGGGTGTAATAAAAAGGTTCTTTGGCCAATTGTTCCCCGTGGATCAATTCGTTAGAAATGTGCCGTGGTTTAGTAAGGCAGGGAGGGGTCTGACTTGCAGGTTGCTCTCCGAGGCCGTATTATTGAATTTTGGGTAGTGATGGGGTGACTGGGGACACAATAAACGCATGTTGTGCCTGTCCCACAAACCCACTCCGAGGCGGAACTCCTGCAGTTGTGGGAAATAACCTGCAACACCAACAGATCTATCCTAAGCAAGATTTGGGGGGATTACCATCTATTATTATAGCAAGAATGGGGGGGGGGATAAATACTAAAATGCTGTGTGAAGAAATATTTCTCTTTACTGAATTTACAAGTCTACCACAAAGCCACAATGGCGTTAAATTACGAAAGGCAAACAGGCTGTTCCCTAGTGCTGCTGACTTCCATCATCCAATCATGTGCAAGCAACAATACTGTTTATTGCAAAGGGAAGTGCCTAATCTGCCTTTAGTAAATCAACCCCATTGTGTCCTGAAAACAGAAGTGTGAGAGTCTACAATAGAACTCTCCGCAATCTTTATAATTAGACATGTTTAACAAATCCCTATCCGATATCAGGAAGACTATGAAGACCAATCTGCTCAATGCTTGTCCTAAGGCAGCTTAGATTGGGTGCAATTCAAAAACCATTCTCTATAGATGTTACGTAAACTAGGGAATCGTCTCGTACAGCTATCTTATACAGTGCTTTTAATTCATTCCTTCCCCTTTTCCACATAGTGTAGTATTTGATTTATGTATTCGGCAAGCGGGGAAAACCCATCGGTTTATTTTTTGCTGTGTCCTGCTGGGGGATATGTCCCTTTACTTCCTGTCCCGGAGGCACAAGAGGAAGAGAGTTGAAATCTCTTCAAAGTGAAGGCAATTGATCTTGTAGTTGTCACTGAAGCAGGTGTCCCTAGTAGATGTCTTGCTCTATTGACAGCTGTAAAATGTTGTATTTGCCGTCACAATGGTCACCAGGATAAACAGAGGGTAAGTCTGCCCAGCCAGGACACTGAAGAACAACAGTCATTTGGTGCTTTACATACATATTCACCCACTGGTGTCACAATCACTTGTGTCTGCAATCATTGCTGAGTCTTTTGTGGTAAATGTCTACTGGCGGTGCATACCCGGATACTACAGCTTTTGTCCATTATTCTATCTTCCCTGGTTTAGATGGGATGATTTTGAACAGCAGTTTGGACAGATGCTCCATTGAGAACCACCTTACTGTAGATAGAGGTGGTTGTCCTACTGGAAGATGACCTTCCACCTCTGTCTCCCATCTGTCTTGCAGACTGAAATTAGTTCTACTCTAGGTCTCCCCTTTTCATCTTGCCCTCAGTCCCGCCTGGGTTTTAGGGATGAAAAACATCTCCACCATATGATGTTGCCACCAGCAGGTTTCACTAATGGGGATGGTGTTACCAAGATGACAATCAGTACTGGGCTTTCTGATATGCACTGTAGTATGTGCCAAGTCCAAAAAGTTAGGTTTTGGTCTCTACAAACCTTTTCCATGTGTTGCGTACATGGCTTCTGGCAAATGGTTTTCTTGTATAAAGCTCAACATTGGAGAGCATCCCATGCATGGTTTCTCCCATCTAGGCCGTGGCTCTCTGCAGTTCTTTCAGAGTCACCATTGGTGATTTGGCTTCTTTTCTAACACATACCGTCCTCACCAAATCACCAAGTTTTGGTGGATGGCCTTCCCTAGGAATTTATGATTGTGCCACATTATTTTATATTTTTAATAGATTTAAAGGTGATGCAGAGAATTTCCAGAGTTTGTGACTTTTTTTTTTTCAAACAGCTTAATACTGATTGGTGCATAACTAGTATATTCCAATAGCTTCTAGGTATTTCAGATACTGTCTGTGTGGTTTTCCTTTATAACAAATTCAGGGGTCCTCTATTTATTTCTTATGATCATGGGACACAGGTAAACACCATTTATGTAATTATGCAAGTCTGGAGAGTATTTGATTGCACCAGTGCCTTTACAACAAAGGGGGTTAATAATATTGCACCATCAAGACATGTCAGATGTTTGTATATCATTTGGAAAACGTTTTTTCTATTTTGACATCATGGAGATTTGTTGTATATCCGTGGCACAAGTCCCCATTGAACCCATTTTATTTTCAGATTTTAAAATGACAAAAATGTGAAAAGCCTGGCCGGTGAATATTTATGCAAAGCACTGTAAATCCCTCTACTGGGGTTTTTACTGTATGTGGGACCTGTTCTCCCTGGTCGTGACTGCCAGGTAAATGTAAACAGTGAGACACAGGATCCCATAGGAGTGGGGACTACGTTGCACTATAGCGGAAGCTATAGCTCTGCACAGAATATCAAGGCCTACGTGTGTACATTAAACATACTCATTCCCATCTTGTTCTCTTTTTAGGTTGCCAAGAGACTTGGACGTGTCCTTTATATGGCCAGTTTTCCTGTGGCATTCCCTCTCCAGCACCCCAGCCTGCGAGCAGCAGACAGAGAGCTAGGAAGCAGTGAGATTAGACCTCCATCTACCGGCAGCGCTGGATCTCCCTTCCCCATCGCCCTCCTTCCTCCCAGCCGCATTTCACCGAAACATGAGAACGGCAGTGCAACGTACTTAAACGAACCTGCTAAATCCCTTTCTTAACTGTGCCCCTGCCATATAGCTGGATACCTAAACTGCTGCGTTGCTGAAGCCAGAGCTTTGAACAGGAAGGGATACTTCGCTTCTGGATGGCTGCTGTCCCTTCAGCTGCTTGAGAGACTAAACTGACTGATAGGGTGTGAAAAAATATTATAAAGCAAAAGTCTGGAGAACCTTTGGAGGCACATCCTCCACGGGCAAGACAGATAGATAAATATATGTATGTATATATTTTTATTTCCATTGTAAAGAGATCAAAGAGAAACTGGTGGAAGGACACAAATATTCCGGCAATACCTGGAAAATACGCAGGACGTTACAGGAGATCAGCATGAGGAAACGAGGGAGTGGAAACCAGTCAGGCATACTTGTACAAAGCCATGTCCAGCCTACGGTGCAGGCTTCCTGTTGCCACAGGCCACATTTAAACAGCCAAACATGCGGGATAATAACAGAAGCAGATGCTTTATGGGAGAACGTTTAAGGCAACAGTCTGATTTTCATGTGAAGTTTAGAACGTGTGGGTAGTTATTGTGTGTTGCCCTCTCCCTTCTTTCCTATGCTGTCTATGCATCTCCGGCAACTCACTACTGTACCAAAGAAATACCGCGCTGCCAGGCGGCGGTACATTGCTGGAACTGGGTTCTCTTTTAGTCTGTTCTGCTTCAAGGGACTCATTACGCCATGTTTTCATCCCTTACGATTCCGACAAGCTAAACAAATTGTTCCACACACTGTCTGCCTTGGTTTTTTTCCTCACACGGGTGGCGGGGACAGGGGGCATAAGACCTACGATTCTGCTTTGGACAATCTATAAACACAGCCCTGGTGTAGAGGTTTCAGTTGGTACAACATGGCAAACAAATGGAGCCTGTGCTGGTGCAAATGGACAAAAAGCCTCTTCACCCCCTGAGACTGTATCATTGGTACCCCCGTCATACAGACCGGTACGTTACGCCATTGTGAACATTTTCATTTCTTAAGGGTTTCTGTTTTGATTACATGTTTCACGTCATGTTCATTCATGGAATATGTTCATTTTTGTTTTCCAACAACAAATGAAAACTAGATCAGCGGTACAATTAGCATTTCTTTTTTTGTTACTGAAAAAAAATCCAGACCTTAACAGATCACCCGAGAGAGCTGCATAGCAGCAAGTTCAAATAAAAAGAAAAAATATACAAGCAATGTGTGTGGTGTCTCAGAAAATGTCAATGTGTGGGAGGTGTTGCTGCTTTCTCAACTAGACTTCCTTCAGAAGTTCCTGGGGGCTCCTTGAGCAATATATAGTTTTCATCTCTCAGTAACCAGTGGCATCAATGACTTTTGTATGGAGGGTAGTCTTATCACGGATCAACAGCAGAAAGGACTTCCTCACTAACTGACTACTAATATAAAGGGGTCCTTCTTCCACTGAGCGCCAATCGAAGTGGCCACTCCACTGAGCGCCAATCGAAGGGGCCACTCCACTGAGCGCCAATCGAAGGGGCCACTCCACTGAGCGCCAATCGAAGGGGCCACTACACTGAGCGCCAATAGAAGGGACCACTACACTGAGCACAAATAGAAGGGGTCACTACAATGAGCGCCAATAGAAGGGGTCACTACAATGAGTGCCAATAGAAGGGACCACTACACTGAGCGCCAATAGAAGAGACCACTACACTGACCAGCAATGGCAGAGGGCACCTTTTCACTGAAAACCAATGTAAGAAAGCAACTTCTTGGCCACTAATGTAAGGGAGCACCACTGTTTTTCTGGACATTTTTTTAATGACCACTAAATATATATTTTCTTAGACAGCAGAAAGCCTTAAAATATGTATTGTGTCAAATTTGCAAGGGGTACATCACATTCCTAATTCTTGAATTACTGTGGATGAAATCATCTAATTCCCGCAGACATGAAAATCGTTTCAAAGGTTTCTCCATATTAAAAAGGTTGAGAAAGTTCGGCCTGTGCCATGTAAATCTGAAGTCTTGACTTCTGGATATCCCAGAGCTGTACATGGGTGGTGTCACTATACAGATACTCCAGAGAACGGAAAGTGTCTCAGATACCTTCAACTACCTTTAAAAAGAACATATATTGATCTTATAGAGCTACATGTAAAAAATAAGATCAGCTTGATATGGATTGCATCAATTATTATTTCAAAAGGCTTTTTTTGTTTTGAATTCAATACACAAGGGAGTGGCAATATTTGTTCATTACATATGCAATACCTGCTTCCTGCTTTGCAGTGTTACACAAGGCTTGCACTGTGCTGCTCTGTCTCATAATTCTGGCTCCCTGTGTGATATTCTATGTCAATAGTTGTAAAGCAAGGAGGCAAAATGTTTTGTTCCTACAAATCTACATTTCCTGCGACAACAAAAATATGGAAGAGCAAGCATGTACAAATGAACGCCACATGAAAAATACTTGAAGGTAACAACCCAAAATACATCCTCGCTGACTCACCATACTTTCCACTTGATCACAATCGCACTACAAACATCACAGGCTTGGATCGCATATATCCTGTCTTGTCTTCTACACTGCACATGCTGCCATTGACACAAGTGAAAAACAAGAGAAAGCAATCTCAAAATGGACAACTGTCATAATAAAAATATAAAGGTGAGGCACTGCTTACATCTCAAGTGCTAAATAAATCTCAAGCCTTCATTACATAGCTATACAATCTGAAGTATAGAGACTTCCCTTCACTGTCCCTAGAAGTAGACTCAGGACAGGAAAGAGGGAAATGTCTGCAGTGGGTACAAGTTCTGGCTGACGCTCCAATTTAATAAAAAAGGAGGTTCTCTGTTGTAAAGAACTGTAAAAACATCCCACAAATAAATATTAAAACGATTGAATCAGGAAAACGTTCAATTTACATAAAAGCAAATATGTGAGCTGTGAACTGTCATATTCACTATACACTAAAGGGGTGAGTTACCAAAATTTAATTTGCTTAAGTGCTCATGTCGATGGGCGTTCGTGTCAAATGCAGTTACTATGCGAATGGAAAAGGCAGCATTTCACATGGAAAGGCTACATTTGACTTGGTTAGTCTGCAGTTGAAACACACCTCACATGCAGTGTCCAAAGAAATGCAATACAAAGCGGGACAACACAGCCTCTGAACTGCCATGTGTACAGCTCAATAAATGTCAAATGGCATTTTACTGACCTGCATTTTAAATGCACATCAAACACAGAAAAAGCGCACTTAGACCTTTACGGCCTGCGTTAATGGGTTTTTGTTCGCTTCAAACGGGTTACACATTCTCATACAAGTCTATGGAATTGCAAAACCCACTTGCAGCAGATCAAATGCAGGTCAGAAGGAGGCCAGCTGCACCGGTCAATGAATTCTGAATGATCTCGGAAGCAACTCAAACTGATGTCATCGACACAAGGCCAAAGCTTATTGACACGGGCCATAAATTACATGCAGGGGAAGTTGCCCTTTTCTATTGTCCGTTTTATTACCTCACAAGTAATTCACCCACTATATACATATATCTTGGAAATTTCGACGTGAAACTTGTGTATTTTTGGCACTCCATTGGTGCACAGCAAAAGAAAGCCAACACACATCTAAAAGCTGGTTGGTGCTACATTTGCAGCCCTGACCTACATTTCTTTGCTTTGTTTTTAATCATTTCACTGGATACAAAACAATGGAGCTGATTATTAAAAGAGAATTATGGCCCAACCTTTTGCCACAGTTCTCTTTATGGTCACAGGAGGACATTTATTAATGTCCTTATGTGACCCACAACTCAGCATATAGCAGGCTGTTTCCCGAGCCGCGATGCAGTCGGGATCCACCCTGCTGCCTGATTGCCAGCTGCACCCCCCCCCCCCCCATCCCTGCGGGGAGCAGTGACTGACGGTCACCGCTCTCTGCAGATAGAGATCAGGAACTGAGTGATCAGCGGTATGTGATTGTGATGTGGTTCCCGATCAATAGAGCCAACGTGTGACAGATTCAGTGTCACACGTTGGCTGTAATTATGGGGATGAGCCTATTTCACTCTCCCCATAATTCTCCTTTAATGAGCATAAATATACCAGTGTGAATTATTTTCAAAAAAGGTAAATCAGCCCAAGAACATATTTGAACCCTCCTTGCTGTAAGCGGGTGTTGGAAATTTTTTAGGGGGATGGAATTCTCCTTGAACTGAACAATTCATTTGAGCCAGTATAAAATATGGTAAATTAAATAAATTCATGAGATGGACATGTGACCCTGGGTTAATAATTCTACCAGCAGAGATAATGAATGAATCAGATTTTATTCCGGCTGCATATTAGGAATCCTGGCCGTCATATAACACAGCAAGCGGCTTTAACGTGTTTTATACTGCTTTCTATTACCGGTGAATTTATAATCCAGCAATGCTTCCAGCCTGACAACTAACCTTTTTAAATATATTTATAGTAAATCATACTTCCCAAGGACTATGCACCACCGGAAATAATCCAATTTCCCTCACGCTTAAAGAGCTAGCAATCACATCCCTTTGTCTCCGGTCGTCTGCCATATACATTACTCTCCAAGTTTAATAAAACAAAAACACAAAATTATTTCAGTAGGAAAAATAGGAACCTAATAGCCATTTCATTGCTTATTCTGCAGACTGGAACTCAAGGCCCCCCAAAACTCATTCAATCTAAGCAAAACATTTGGGTGAAAACTAGGGATGCACTTATATCGTTTTTTCGGTATCAATTACCAATATTTTTTTTTTTGGTACTCGCCGATACCGAATAGCAATACTGGCATCCCGAGGTACCATTGGCCCGGCTTCCTGATTACCCGGGAAGCTGGTATTCTACAGAAAGAACACCAGCTTCACGTTCCAAGGTAGCCTGGCTTCCTGACCAATCAGGAAGCCGGGTGGCAGGTTATGACCCACCTACCGGCTTCACCTGTGAGGCAGCTTGGCTTCCTGACCTGCTTTTCCTTCAGCAGAAAGCGTTAAAATCTCCCTCTGACCGGAAGTTCCGGTATCGGGGTAAGTATTGGAGCATTTGGGCATTTGAGTACTCGCACTTGGTATCGGCACCAATACTAGTGCATCCCTAGTGAACACTACTCCATAAGATCCATGCCAACTGCAACCAGCCATACAAGTGAACACTACTCCATTGCATAAAAAAAGCTTTTGAAAGGAACATAGGATCAACCATTACAGACTTGTTTTGAAGGTGCAAGCTCCAAGGCCATACCGCACATCCAGGCAAGTGGCAACGTAGCCCGTAATGGAACAATCAAGCGTCCTGATACCGCTGTACCTCCAGACTTATCACTGCACAGCAAATCAGCATCATTGTCTCCAGAAAGCAGTAATATTTCAACGGCCACCTGACTACTAGGATGTGTGTGGTCACAAGAATGGGTGTTCAGAATTAAAAAACCTTTGGCAGGTAGAATAGAACAGAAGAAACATGTATATAAACATGGTGCCAGTCAAAGTGAATTCTAATGTATGCGACCTGCATTACCATGTGTTGCGGTAATACACATGTTACTGCAATGTACCAGTGTGGAGAAGTGTAAATGAGTCCATGATCTTGCCCAGTACAACATTATTTTGCTTGGTGGTGAAGATAACACTGCATTCTATGCATGAGGACAACATGAACTATATGGTAGGTAACTGTACACAGCTGTGCCTACAGATCTGTATGTCTTTTATAGTCTACTTCAAGATCTGGATGAGCATAAAGAGGCCACATGTGTCATATATTAATGAAAGTGTGTTATACTCGGCATAGATAAATCATAAGAAAGGTGTAAGTGAGCTTTAAATCCCCATTTCATTCACCAGTTTCCTACTTCTCAAGTCAAGCCATTCTTTCTACAAATACAGCAACGGCAGCTGGGCAGGAAGCTGTACAAGACCATTACAATAGTCATACACAATTATTTGAGTTTAATCCCAGCTTGGAATTTAAAAACTCACTCCCGCCAATATATTTTAGTTTTGGATGAAATGTGGAAGAATTAACATAAGACATGTTTTTATTCTGTATGTGACCTCATAGGGGAAACCTTCCTCACTTCCTATCCCTGTGATACTCGAACAAGTATTGGGGGTTTGCGGTTTAACACCAGGACAGGAAGGGCCAGACAGATGAAGTATTGTCAGAAGTTTCAACTTCCTAACTTTTCTAAAAATGTATGTTTGGCTCTTCTCCCTGTTGG